ACTGCTACAGTGCGCCGCTTGGGAGCGCAGCGGCGCTCCCGCCGAGGGTTCGGATCCCACATACAGACTGGCCGCTCACTGGCTGAGCAAGGTAGGGGCGCAACACCGAGAGTTGCAATCCCGTTGCTGGTCCCGGTCTGGTACGGGCGCGACACTGAGGGTTGCGATCCGTTGCTGGTCACGAAAAAAGACAAAAAGGAAAAAAATTAAAAAAAATAAAGTACTTTGGACAAAAGAAATGAGGTAAGAAAGATAATCGTAAAGCACTAGCAATATGAAGTTTTTAGGAACAGATAGCTTGGCAAACAACAATAATCTTTAAAATCATCAGTGTAATATTGAGACATTTTGTTTGCATTTAATTTTTTTGTTTGAATTATTTCCTAATTCAGGGAAAACACTGTAACCAGATTTGTCATACAGTAATTTTAGGTACTTGTTGTTTATTCACTTCTGTTGAAACTGAGTTAGTTATCTAGATCCTTGATAAGGTATTAAAGATCCTGGGCCTGGGCCGGCCCCGTGGCACACTCGGGAGAGTGCGGCGCTTGGGTGCGCAGCAGCGCGGATTCAGATCCTATATAGGGATGGCCGGTGTGCTCACTGGCTGAGCGCGGTGCGGACGACACCAAGCCAAGGGTTGCAATACCCTTACCGATCACAAAAACAAACAAACAAAAAAGATCCTGGGCCTGAGTATAGGAAAGTCAAGCATTTTGTTTCTTAACCTTTGTAATCAAGGTACCCGGCTAGTCAATTTATAAAGTGTGTCATAAAGAGAAAGGATGTGGTTAATTCAGAAAATGCATAAGCCTGTGGAATAGACAAATTCTGTTAAAAATGAAACAGCTTAATTTTGGAGGATAGTACATTGAAAGACACTAACCATTGCTAGATTTTTTTTTTAAGTTGGGTCATCTGCAGAAATGAAATATTTGGTCTTTGAATTATGTTTCTTTAACTTTCAAAGTTAGGCAGAGGTTAAAATGATCTAGAAAATATTAGTGCTCTTAAATTAGATAATATTCTTGTTAATTCATAGAATAAGAGAGGGTAACCTACTGTGAATAAACATTCATACCTGCTTTGTTGGATATAAGACACAGGCTGTTTGTGTTTGGCTATTGTGAGGAATTTTTGTAAAAAAAAAAAAAGAGAAAAAATAGAACAGAGTTGATGCTCTGGGGACATAATAATCCATTGTAGAGAATACAAGTATCAGTACTTATTTTAACTCTTGATTATGTATTGTACATTTATCTGCAGCATAATATTAATTCTGGGATATGAGTATCAAGTTAGTATGTCTTTATGGTGTGAATTTAATCTAAGCGGAACAGTTAGATAAATCTGCTTTTTAAAAAAATATCATGATAGACTAAAGGCCAAATACTTTGAGTTCTTCTATTTATAAACCCCAAAAGATGATAATGCTTCAAATACTACCAAAAAAGAGAATTTCCATTTTTAAAAAAATGGAAATGTCCTCATTTGTCTATATAATATAGCAATGCAGGAACTATACAGGAAGTATATCTTATATCCATAAATTAACATAAGAAATTGTGAACCACTGAGTTAGGCAATCAAAAAGCATGTATTGACCATCTATATGTACATACTTGATGAAATTGGCCCTCCGTATCCGTGGATTAAACCAACTACAGATTGAAAATATTTGGGAAAAAAAATTGTGTCTGTACAGAACATGTACAGACTTTCTTCTCTTGTCATTATTCCCTAAACTATACAGTGTAACAACTATTTACGTAGTTTTTACATAGTATTAGATATAAGTACTCTAGAGATAAAGTATACGGGTGAATATGCATAGGTTATATGCAAATACTATACCACTTTATATCAGGGACTTGAGCATCCTTAGATTTTGGTATTCATGGGTGGTCCTGGAATGAATCCCCCATTGATATTGAGGGACCGACTGCATTGTAGGTCCTGTGGAAAGGGAAGATGTATACTAGAAAACGTCATCCTCCATCAATAAAAGATATATTTAATTAGAGGTGCTCAAAGCATTAAAGATATTTAAGTGAGATGCGGAGTACATTTAGCTTGGGGCTGAAGATACTGACAATGCAAAAGCTGAAGTAGTTTTCTTTTACCTCCACCAGTATTCTAAAAAATGGCCTTCACTGATAAAATTTTGTTAAATTAAGGGTTACATGATTTGAAAATAACACAGATAAGTTAAATTCAACATTAGTGAGTTAGGATTCTCAGCAAGGAAGTCTGTGGAATATTACCAGTCAACAGTATTGCATCTTTGCTGGGTAAAATTACTGCTATGTGTGTCCTTAGAAGAACAGAAGACTGAAAGTTACTGAAGCTACTTCCTGATATTGAATAAAAGCATCTGAAGAATAAAAAAGGATTATTCTAACATTGAGATTAATATTTTGCATTCTATATCTTGAATTATTTGATTGTATATTCTTGAGGCTTTGAAATATGTTTTAATCAGTACCTATTTTTCTGTTGTGATTTATTTTTACTCTTTACATAAATACTGTTATTTGTATTTTATAAAGGATAGTGTTAATGTTGATTATGTTACTAATATTTCCTGCTATAAACTACTAAGGTACTCTTTGCTCCCAATTCATAAAATTTATCAGGTAAGACATCATTTTTGTACTTTCAGTCAAAGATTTACATAGGTAAGTAAAGTAACTTAACATTATCATCTTTACTAGTCATCAAGGACAAATTATCCTGAATAAATAGCTCTGCTACTTCTACTTTATTTTTATTTTTTATTTATTTATTTATTTTAGTTTTATTTTATTTTGTCAATATACAATGTGGTTGATTATTGTAGCCCATTACCAAAACCTCTCTCCCACCTCCCTCCCAACAAACTCCTTTCTGTTTCCTTGTTGTATCAACTTCAAGGAATTGGAATTGTTGTGTCTTCTTCCCTCCTCCCCAGGTTGTTTGTGTATTTATTTATTTATTTTTAGCTCCCACAAATAAGTGAGAACATGTGATATTTCTCTTTCTATGCCTGACTAGTTTCGCTTAATATGCTTCTCTCTAGGTCCATCCATGTTGTTGTAAATGGCAGTATTTCATTGTTTTTTATAGCAAAGTAGTATTCCATTGTGTAGATAATACCTTATTTTCCATATCCACTCATCTGATGATGGACATTTGGGCTGGTTCCAACTCTTAGCTATTGTAAAGAGTGCTGCAATGAACATTGGAGAACAGTTAATACCTTCAACTTGATGATTTCCATTCCTCTGGGTATATTCCCAGCAGTGGGATAGCTGAGTCATATGGTAGATCTATCTGCAATTGTTTGAGGATCCTCCATACCATTTTCCATAGAGGCTGCAACATTCTGCAGTCCCACCAACAATGTATGAGAGTTCCTTCTTCTCCGCATCCTCGCCAGCATTTATCATTCACAGTCTTTGGATATTAGCCATCCTAACTGGGGTGAGATGGTATCTCAGTGTGGTTTTGATTTGCATTTCACGAATGCTGAGTGATGTTAAGCATTTTTTCATGTGTCTTTTGGCCATTTGTATATCTTCCTTTGAGAAATGCCTACTTAGCTCTTTTGCCCATTTTTTAATTGTGTTACTTGTTTTTTTGTTGTAAAGTTGTTTCAGTTCCTTGTATATTCTGGATATTAATTCTTTGTCAGATGTATATTTTGCAAATATTTTCTCCCACTCTGTTGGCTGTCTTTTAGCTCTGTTAATTGTTTCTTTTTTTAGTTTGATATAATCCCATTTGTTTATTTTTCCTTTGGTTGCCCATGCTTTTGGGGTCATATTCATGAAGTCTGTGCCCAGTCCTACTTCCTGAAGTGTTTCTCCTATGTTTTCTTTGAGTAGTTTTATTGTTACAGGGTGTATATTTAATTCTTTAATCCATTTTGAGTTGATTTTGGTATATGGTGAGAGGTATGGGTCTAGTTCATTCTCCTGCATATTGATATCCAGTTATCCCAGCACCATTTGCTGAAGAGGCAGTCTCTTCCCCAGTGTATAAGCTTGGTGCCTTTGTCAAAGATCAGATGGCTGTAGGGGTGTGGGTTGATTTCTGGATTCTCTATTCTATTCCATTGATCAGTGTGTCTGTTTTTATGCTCTACTTTGTTTTTAAATTGCCAAGAAAATGTTAACAATTTGTTTCTTCATAGAAATTGTGTGTATGTTTGTGTATATATGTATAGTATTAGGTAGTATGATGTTAATGGTTTTTATTGTAATATGTTGACATTTTTATCCTGTCTACTCTTTTACGGGAAAATGTGAACGTATTTTATAACTGACTTGAATTTGCTATTTTCAACTGTAGACACTTATATTTAAAATATTTATTGTCTATTTACTCTACCTTACAGGTTTCTATTGTCTTTAGTTAAATGCATGTATTATTTTGTCTGTTTGACAGAATTACCATGCTTTTCAAATAGACATTAATAGATAAAAGCATATATAATGCTCTTGTCCCAGTCACCATACACAACTGCTAAGATTATAGGGAAGAGAGGAGGTAGTAAGTGTCCTCCACCTCTTCTTTTTCGTACTGAGGGGTAGCATTAGTTTCAAACTATATAGGTCTACTCTGGACTATATAAAACAAATCTAAGTAACTACCAAGAATGTGAGATGTATCCCCTACCACAAATCCACCTGCTAACACCAGTGGATCTCTGATTTCAAAAAGGTTTCAGTCAATACAGACAAATGAAGACATTATTTCAAAATTGATGACATAACTACCTTTCATTATTATGGTAATGTGTCGTATTTTTAAAGTTGCTATATAACTATACACACATACATACAAATTGTATTATCCGTTTAGGGTTTAGAATATTATAGTTATAAATTTGAGTGTTTTATTGAAATAAAAAGATGACTTAGAAAACATTTCAATACCAATATTTCATTTGTATTGTGCTAATTAAAATTTTCCTTTTATCTTCAGATTTAAATTTTTTTCTCACTTTTTATTAATAGGTAGTATAGATCAATCAGTGTTAAAAGAACTACCCCCTGAACTCCTGGCAGAAATTGAATCCACCATGCCACTTTGCGAACGTGTGAAAATGAACAAACGCAAGCGTAGCACAGTTAATGAAAAGCCAAAATATGCTGAAATCAGTTCAGATGAAGATAATGATAGTGATGAAGCTTTTGAATGTAAGTATCACATACCTTTATTATTGTTTTAGAATTAAAAAGCAGATTGATGTGTTTGTCTCATTCATAATTTGGGGGGTTAGCAAGAGCACAGTGACCTTAATTCTTAATAATATAGTATAGAAAGATTTTTTCTTTATGCTTTAAAAATGTGTGGAGGATGAGATCAGTTGGCACCAAGAAAAAATTTTGAGTGAGCCATAAATAGTGTTAAAAAAACACCAGTTTGTGTCTGTATGCATTTAGCAAACATTTATTGAGCTCCTACTATGTGCTAGGCACTGAGAATAAAAATACAAATAAGATGTGGCCCCTGTCTTTAAAGAGCCTTCAGTCTAATGGGGAAATATGTAAATAAACAATTGTACTACAGTGAAAAAAGTACAATGGTAACAGTAAATACAGAGTGCTATGGGAACACATTGGATCGGCATCAAAATCAGAGTGGGGGTTCAGAGAATGCTTACTGGAAGAGGCGACACTCGAGTTGAGTCTTAAAGGACACGTAGGAGATAGCCAGATGAAGAAATATTTAAAACCATACTGTCACTAAATTATGAATGGATTAGCCACATTGCAGATTATCTGTGTGGTTTGGACCTGGCTTCTCCTTTTTGCCCAGCTGTGTCCTGGAATTCCTCCCTTGTTTCACTGTTTTCCAGAGCTGGCTTCTTCACTACACAGCTACCTCTCTACAACACTGTGATCACCTGTCTTTGCACTAGACTTGCTATACCTCGCCTGTCTTCCTACTGGTCCACTGAAAAAGTTCTTCTCTTTTATCCCTATCTTCCTTCTTCTGGAACAAGAGAATTGAGACTAGCCAAGAGGGGTCAGCAGCCTTGTTTGACATAAACGGCATTCAGTGGAAACAGACTATGGGAGATCTTCACTTGTGTGCCAACTGACTTAGCCATAATGACCAAAAGAAGTGGGAAGACCACCAGTGTGTTCTACCTTTTCTACCTAGTGTCCATAGATTGAGGTGTGACAAGCAAAGGGCAGGAAGGACAGATGCATGCTGCCATTTTTAAATGTGTATTACTGATGGAAGCCCTTCACCTCCTCCAAAGTTTTTAATCAATGTTCATTTATCCTGATCTTTTTAAAATTGTGAGCTCTTGAGCTATGAGCAGTAATAGACTATGAATACTGAACAAATCTGAGCAAAGTTTTAAAATTGAAATAAAATATATAGCAAAGTTAATCTGACATAATTATATGTATAATTGTTATAACTTGTATTATCATGAGATGTATTTACACACAATATATTAAAATGGCTAAAGTTAATTTTTTTTATTATACTCAAACATTTTGGTCATATGGGAACATGGTTAGCTCTGGAAAGTGAGAGGAGAAAGAAAATATGGTGACCCAGAAACTCACTCCTTTTGTATATATGCTTCTCCACTCTCCCTTTTTCCCCTAATATGTTACTCATTTCTAGAACAGCTGAGAAGGAGGAGTCCTTTAACTACAGTTTGATTTCAAATCACTTTTTAACTCCAGTTGATGGATAGTGGCTGCCTGCATTAAGTTGATGAGAATTCTGAAGCTATCCCACAGTTAGGTGGAAAGGATAGCATAATCAGAAAGATCTACCAAATGTAGAATAGTGGAGAGTAGAGTTACATGTGCCTCGTGTTTGTCATCAGTGCAGCCACTATTCTTTTCCTTGCTTTCTATTATGAGGGATATTGTCCCATCTTATGGGAGCTCATAGCTTCATTTTAAAGCCAATGGATCCTGTTATATCTATGCCCATGTATACTGAAAACTAATACTACATATTTAGAGAACCTGAGTTTCGATCCCTGCTGGGAATATGGAAAGTTTTTCTAGCTTTTAAAAAAATCTCATAGTAGCTTCCTGTTCTTCTTAGTTTATTTATATACAATTAACATTAGTAAAGTGGACGCCGGGACCACTGATTTGACTCATGAAAGAAGACCAATTGGTAGTTTACATAAACAACCAAATTATTATTATCCCACAACAAAGACAATGAAAATACAGTCCAATACAAAATGTGAAAGTATTATGAGAACATAGTTGCAAGCATTATGCTGCTTTCAGAGAAATAGGCTTTTTGAAAATTAAGGTTTTACTGCAGTTTAATCATATTGGCTTTCTAAAATCTAAAACTAAGAAAGTAGTTTTGTTGAAGGACAGGGGAAAGGATTAGAGGGTAACTTTGAAAGTTGGGCCACACAGATTTGGATAGCCATAGCACAGTATAAGGTCACTGGGTGCCTGGGGAAAATGGAGAGGGGGAACATAAGATGCTAAAGAGAGACACAGGTGAAATTTGGAAAGGAAAGGAAAGGACATGAAAGTCATAGGAGGGGTCTTCAAAAAATTCATGGAAAAATTCTGTCTTTTTGAAGTACCCTCATATTTTACATACTCCTCTATTGGGCCTTGCTTCTTCCAAGGTAATGAAGGAAATGGAGAAAGAACAAGCTAGCCACAATGAGTTGAGATCCTGATAACCTCATTGCAAAACACAATGTGTCATAGAAGTTGTTTTGTTTTGCTTTTAAATTTGCCACCCATTTTTATTCAAATTGCCTAAAGTTTAATGAATGTGAAATAAAAATCTCCACAGCCTATAAACAATTACCAATACAGCACATCGAATGTAACCGAACTACTTTAGGATTTTTCAAGCATTTTCTATTCGTAGAATTGAATGCTTGAAATGGATTTCTTATGAAATTAATTAAAATGCAAAAAGACTAAAGTAGGTCATCTTTGAGGTTGTAGACTACTACTTTCTGAACATGTTTGCTTCTTAGTTGTCATCTCTTGTATTTGGCAAACATTTCAGTACTTGTTGAAAAACATTTAATGAATGCTATAAAAAAAATCACCTGTGTCTCTGTGACACACAACACACACACACACACACACACACACCCCTCACTACTTATATTAGTACATAAAACAACACTTCATTAAGGGAAGTTACTAGGACAAACCCTAGTCGTAAAAAGGGAAAAATTCTCCCTTTCCTCACACACTTGATAACCAAATTTATACCTAATTATGAAGAAAATTATTGAAGATTTAAATATATTTATTTACATTTGGCCTCTGTATGAATCCTCTTTCTATGCCAAGCCTGTGACCACAAAGAAAAGGAAACAAACTTACCGTTTCCTGCTGTGTCGTCCATAGATTGGATAGAAGGGTCCAGAACCAGAAACCAAACTAGTTTCTTGAATAGGAACAGATAGGGAAGAATGTAAGGGTAAGATTAGCCATAATAAATGTATAGACATTTATTATCCACACTTAAGGATACTGGCACAAGTGTAAATATGTTGCATGGGCCAGATGTTGGCATCCTTTAAGCCAAGTGGGGTACTTAAGGAAGAGATTTGTCTTAAATGTTTGTGCACTGATTATAGTTAGGGATTCAGAAAAGAAGCCAGTCATTAGGAAGCAATGGAGTCAAACAACAGAAAGTATAGCACTGTTAGCAACAAGTGGTCATTACAACAACCAGTGTATGATCTCAAGGTGTAGGACACATCAGTTCTGTACCCTGCTTTTAACTTGGTAGTGGTACCTACTCCCTAGAACAGGTATGGTAAATTTTTGTCACTTGCACCGCCCTCCAACTCTCACTGCAGATGTTTCTGATCAGTCTTTCTTGCTGAACTATGATACTTTCTCGGGGCTCAGAATTCTTTTCAACATAATGCTCTGTGCAGCTTTTACCAGTTGATTAGAGTTGATATGTCAGATGGAATCTGTTTGCCAGGTCTGCCTAGAGACTTCTGTTAGTACTGGTGATATTAGCAGAATGCTTAGACCTCTGGAAGGATGAGGAAAAGATTGAAGGTAACATATAAACATGCTTATGTTGCATGCATAAGCTTAGAAGTTTTTCTCCCTGCGTTTAAACAGTCCTACTGTTGGAGAACTGAGTTCAGTATATGAATTTGTAACTATACAGGTTTATTCAGTATTTGTAACTATACAGGTTTATTCTGTCACTGTAGGCTTGTGATGGTAGGTCACCAGAGTCTCTGGAATTTATCGTTAAGTTACGGGTTTAATTTAGCTATTAATTGATTGTATACATGGTTACCCGTATTCTGTAACACTTTCTCAAAAGTTAAATTTTCCTCCAAACTCTGCTTCCCCTTACTAATCTAAATGCTTAATGGTAGTTCTGGCTTTGGTCCAAATCTTAAATAAAAGTTGTTTTATAAGCCTTAGTTTATTTTTAAGTTTAGATATATAATCTTTACTGACCCACTTAGTACCTTTCATTGAAATGAGCACTGTGGATTAATTCCAAGAACCTTCCTATCTGTATTTACTACCAAACTGAATTTGTGTAAAAATCTTTAAATCTGGATAGATCGTGTTATTAGTCATACTCTTTCTATACCGTAATTTAAACTTCTGGATAGACAAAATGACTCAGAATTTCCTAAACTCCAAAAAATGAGGATATTTTTCCCCCGTGTGGTTCATTTGTAAAGTTTTAATAGTCTTTTTAAATGAGGTAAATTATTTGTCATGGGGATTTGCTTCTAGCCTCTAGGAAACGACATAAAAAAGATGATGATAAAGCTTGGGAATATGAAGAGCGTGACAGAAGAAGCTCTGGGGATCATAGGAGAAGTGGCCACTCTCACGAAGGAAGAAGGAGTTCAGGTGGTGGTCGTTATCGAAACCGAAGTCCGTCAGATTCTGACATGGAAGATTATTCTCCTCCTCCCAGCCTTAGTGAGGGTAATTCATCAGTGTCAACGGATTTCATACCTAAACTGATTTAAACTTAGGGCTTTAACTTTGAAGACTATTTTATATCTTTTTGTGAGTTAATTAACACCTCCTAATTTTTAATCAAGACAAAAGTATGTATTTAGCCTGGATTTGCAGTGATTATTGTTTAAGAATTTAATTAATGTTCAGGAAGAAACTAGACACAAAAATGGAAATATTTTAGGTTGTCATTCCTGCATTTCAGTATTTCTTTTTTTTCATTTTAGTTGCTAGAAAAATGAAGAAAAAAGAAAAACAGAAGAAAAGGAAAGCTTATGAACCAAAATTAACACCTGAAGGTAACAGTTTATTTAATTTGTTTTTATTCATAGTCTTTAACTTCACTTGTCTGGTTGGAATGTAGGCATAATAAATATTTTTTTCTTCCTCTTACAGAAATGATGGACTCTTCAACTTTTAAGAGATTTACAGCCTCAATAGAGAATATTTTGGATAATTTAGAAGATATGGATTTTACTGCATTTGGTAAAATCAATTTAAAATGTATTTATTTACCCCTACTTTTTTTTTTTTTTTTGTCCTTTTTGAGACCGGCCGCACCGCGCTCGGCCAGTGAGCGCTGTGAGTGCACCAGTCATCCCTATATAGGATCCGAACCCGCGGCAGGAGCGCTACTGCGCTCCCAGCGCCGCACTCTCCCGAGTGCGCCACGGGCTCGGCTCTATTTACCCCTACTTTGCCTCTAGCTTTCTGCCACTTTCTGTAGAGGATACAGAGGCATGATTTGTTTTATGAAGAAACGTGAAATCTAGTTTTGGAGTCTAATCTAGTCCATGCTATCAAGAAACTGAAAACTTTAAAACAAAAATCAAGTACTGAATTAGTCAAGCGCTGATAGATAGTGTCTTAAGAGTACAGCTGAGAGTACAACTGCCACAATAGGTTTGAGTAATTAAGGAAGTCTTTATGCTGGTGAGTCTTGAGTAGGTTCTATTAATGAGGATACTAATAGGAACAAAGATGCAGGAAAAAAATCTGTTTATCTGTTCATTTATTCTTGTGGCCAATATTTTAAAATAGTAAACCAACTAGAATACAGTAGGATTAATGTTACATTCATATATTTTATAATAATACATAAAGATTATGTCTATAAATATAACAATGTTATGTTTATAAAAATACTGCTTAAAATATGTAGAGCTGGGCCAGCCCGGTGGCGCACTGGAGAGTGCACCGCTTGGGAGTGTGGCGGCACTCCCACCGAGGGTTCAGATCCCATGTGGAGACCGGTTCCTGCTCACTGGCTGAGCGCGGTGCGGGAGCAACGCCGAGGGTTGCGACCCCGTTGCCGGTCCCCAGTGCGGGCGCAACACCGAGGGTTGCGATCCCATTACCGGTCAGTAAAATAGACAAAAAGGAAAAAAAAATATATATATATATGTAGAGTTACTCTCAACAATCTTAGGCCACCTTGACCTGGTAAAAAAACTAATGCCTAACTTACATGAAAGCCATATGGCATACAGTAATTCTAATAAGAATCTACCTGTTGGGGAATGCCTTAAAAGGTATATCGCTCTTTATTAAAAATACATGTTTGGGCCGGCCCGGTGGCGCACTGCGATAGTGCGCCGCTTGGGAAGCGCGGCGGCGCTCCCGCCCGAGGGTTCGGATCCCACATACAGACCGGTTCCCGCTCACTGGCTGAGCGAGGCGCGGGAGCAACACCGAGGGTTGCGATCCCGTTGCCGGTCCCGGTCCGGTACGGGGGCGACACTGAGGGTTGTGATCCGTTGCCAGACACGGAAAAAGACAAAAAAAAAAAAAAAAAAAATACATGTTTGTTTTGTGAGAATTACTTGCCTAAGTATCATTGTGTTTCCTGATTAGAGTATCAATTTCATCTTTTTTGAACCTTTCCAATTCTGTGCTGAGAAATTTTCTGTGTCATTTAGGTTCCCCAAAGGAAGACAGATGTCATTCTCAAATTAGTATAATTTAAGGAGGAGTTATTTACAAAGAGACTAATTGCAAATATGGGGACAAAATAGTACCAGAAACCCAGGTTTAACAGCCATGGGGTATGTTAAACCCCAATACCAAACCCTCCGATACCAAAGAGAATAGGGGTAAAAAGAAGTCATCAGAACTCAGTACGGAAAAATATTGTAGAGTAGTCTGCCTTGAAAGAAGCAGTACCTTTTGGTCAGAGGACAGAGCCAGCCTGAGGAGACCTTGCAAGGAAGGAGCCAGGGATATAAATACCCTGACCTCACTCTCCTTCTGTTTGATCTGACAGGGCATCCCACTGGCTGAACCCAAACAGAAGCCAGAGGGCATGGGAGACTGTTGATGTAGTCCATAAGGGCAGCCTCCTTGGAGCAAAGAGCATGGTTGAGAAGGGTCAATGATATATCTAAAGTAGTGAAGACAAGACATCTGTCTCTTCTTCCCCTTTTAGTCAGAAATCTAATTTTAACTCCTGCCCTCTTTCATTCAGGGTTGGCTTAAAGTTTACAGAGGCCTCTTAGGTTGTTATTTTAGTTTGTTTATATCTGTTTGTGTGTCCAAAAATTTTATTAGAAAGTTAAGCTTACCATTTTGAGCTATTTCTTTTACCTAAACTATGTTTTTGTTTGTCTGGTTTCATTTTTCAGGTGATGATGATGAAATTCCTCAGGAACTGCTCTTAGGAAAACATCAGCTTAATGAACTTGGCAGTGAATCCGCTAAAATTAAAGCAATGGGTATAATGGATAAGGTATCTCACCAGGATAAAATTTATAAATTTACTTAATAGCTAACATTTGAAATTAGCTTAAAGTTTTCAGGACAGATTATAAAGTTTGCATAAAGTAAATAATAATGAAAAGAAAATTCATGGTTGCCTTCTGAGAGTCTAGGAGAATTAATTCTTTTTTAAAGAAAACCTTGAATAAAAGAAATATTCTGCAAATTATTCTAAAGAAAATCATATTACTTCATCAGAAGAGGTGTGGACCTTGATTTTTTTTCAGTTTTTTTCATTTTTTCAAATATTTAGGTTATTTAAATGCAAAAATACACTCAATTTTTCTTTGACATGTACTTTAGTCATTTAAGACTAAATGGAAAAGTCATAAAAGAATAAAGGTCCAGTTTCAATACATTACATCCCATCCTGTAAAATGTTGCCATTTTTTAACTGTTAATAAATACATAGCCTCATTGCTATAGGCTTTATGATAACAGTTGTGAGTTGTCTTTCATATAAAATCCCTGTTATTAAGAACAGTTGTGAGTTGTCTTTTGTATGAAATCCCTGTTACTAAGAACTGGTCTCATTACACTAATGGAATAGCAGAATATCTTTTCATTGGTAACTTTAACCAATAGTAGCAGCATCAAGAGGTGGCCTCTTATAATCTTATTTTTTTTATCATTACACAGTGTAATCCTTTTTTGTGACCCTTTACTAATTTCCCCCCTACCCCCTTCCCCCTCTTATAATCTTTATCAGCCACCACTCACCCCTAAACTACTGCATGATTGTTATGCATATAAAATTTCAAGACAATTCCCCTTTCCTCCTCTGCGTCAGGATCCCTTTTATGCAGAGTTGTTTACTCTCAGTCTTAATAATGATTTGTTTGTCAAGAATAGTAAACAAACTAATAAAAGATTATGTCTGCCTGTGGAGTTGATTCTAAACAATTGAAACCTGTTTATTAAGTTTTTTTCAACTTTACAATTTTAAAGTAGCCTGGAAAGTATTTTGACGATTTTACAAACTTAAAATATAATCAGTTATTTATTTTTTATTTGTTTAAATATTACCTATATTCCAAGTAATGAATGTGCCAATAATTTGAATTTTAAAGACAGACATAACCACATAGTTAACAAATGTGCTATTAGTTCACATTGATATTACTGTGTGCAGTCAGGGGTATATTGGTTTATTTTATGTACAGGAATATGTCAACAGTTTTCTGAGGTGCCAGTTCCAGTCTTAGTTATTTATTTTATAAGTTCCATAATTACATATAGCTAATATTTTTACTATTTCAAAAAGTGAATTTGCTGAGTATTTTCAAGCTGCAGAAGTTTCGTCTTAAGTCTCAATAGTTTTAATCTGTTGTGAAATTATCTAAAGCAATATTTGGGGAAACTTGCTTCTGTACTCTAGCATGAGTAATCAAACTAAAGTCAGTTACTCTATTGATGTCCCATTTGGCTCTTCTGGTTGCTAAGGTTGAGTGTCCTAGCAGTATGCGAGGAGTCTAAAAGGAGAACTGTTTAATCAACAGAATTGAGTAACAGTTGCCTCTTGACAGAACCTCCAAATGGACTACTAATTTTTTAAATAGTGAAAACATGCTTTGTAAGAAAAGAAATTTTTAAAAAATCAAAAAATTTCATTAGAAAAGACGTTCAAAAAATAATAAAGACATTCTTAGACATGACATTCCAAAAAAAAAAAATAAAAGAAGTATCTACTAAATAAAGTAGTGTTGTTTCACGTTTATAACTTTTATCATCCACAGTTTTATGTTTCTGGTATTCAAAAATGCTATCTTAGATTTTAAGAAACCTGCTGAATAACATTGTAGTGTGGAAGCCATGTAATAATAATTAAGTGAACAGACGAAATGTGTTCTTTAATGAGTATGTATGTGCGTATGCGTGTTCAGTGTTATGCCACAGGAGCAGAGAGCCAGGCATCAGGACAAACTTAGTCTTACCTCGATATACTTATGTGGTAGGAGTTGAGCTAGTAACATGCATATGTTCCCATCCTGTGTTTGTTCATCTGTCTTTCAGAAACAAGTGATAAGTTCTTTACACAATTCATATTCGAGTAGAGGTTCTAAGTGGGAAAGTTTTCTTTTTCCACTCTTTAAGAGGATGATAATGTTATATCTTCCATAGCCCACAGTGAAGAATTGTATACAGTGTTTCTTAAATAATTTACAGCTTTTACCAATGATGGATAAAAGAATTTATGTTGCCATTTTAGCTTTCAACTGACAAAACTGTGAAAGTCCTAAATATCTTGGAGAAGAATATTCAAGATGGGTCAAAGCTTTCCACTTTGTTAAATCATGTAAGTTAAAGATCCAAATTAATTTTACTCTTAATATTGTTAAGATATAAATTTTTTATAAACTGATTTATAAGGAAAAATCACATTTTATTACTTTGCACTTATTACTACAAATTACTAATTCATTATTATTGCTAATAGAATTTTAGTAATTCAAAATCAATGTTGCACATTGTCAATTCACAGCTTTGCTGTAAAGTAAGAATAATAAAAAAAAATGTGAATTTATTCAATTTATATGGCTGTTTTTTAATCTTAGTTTATACTCTTCCTTGCATAAGTGTATGAGTGTGCTTAAAGTTTTCTTTCATTTATGCGATGATAGTAGGTAGTAATTCTTTTTGTTGACCTTCTCTAGACAAATAAATAGTTAGGCACCTTATGTTAATTTCCAAATGTATACCAAAACATTAATCTTTGTATTCCATTTTTATACCTAGCTCAAAGGGTTGTTTAAAGAATTAAATGAATTAATTCATGTAAAGTGATTGCAGCAGTGTCTGGCACATTTTAATTTCTCAATAAATGTTAACTGCAGCTGTTACTACATTTTAATATGTTTCTATCAAAAGCAGTACCAACGTGGTTACAATAGTTTATGAATTAACTTAATTTCCTGAGATCTGCTTCCCTAGAATTATAGCAGACTTTATAAATCATATGTGCTTTCAAGTTGATATAGCTAACTCTGATGTTAATGAGTATAATCTTTAATCCTTATAGGCATTTAATTTAAGAAATAAGAATTTGGGATGTTTTGAGTTCATGAATTTTCCTTGTTTTTAAAAGCCCAATTGCAAAAGTAACATTTATTGTAAAAAATTTTCAAAACATAAAAAGCAAAAAAAAAAAAATTCACATTCTCATCCAGTAATAACCATTTTTAACACTTCTGATATGTATTTTTCACTCTCATACATGCATATACACTACATATGTTTAATACATACACTGTTTAGTACATGTGTTTTCCCTCATGAGGGAAATGTTCTCAGTGTTTACAGAAGCTACAGGATTGCTAAGTGATCTACATGGAATAAAATATGTAGAAAAGTAATCTCAGGTGGCAGTTCTCAGGATTGTTAAATACATCTATATTTTTTAATGCTCTCTTTTTAAACTAGTTTTTGAATCATAGAAACAAAAGTCTTAGAGAAACCTATACTGGCAATCTTCTCCGTCATTAGTCTGCAAGATACTTACCAATACTTTGCCAAGAAATTGTGATGAACATCATCAAGAATCTAGAGTTCTGGAGAGCTGGCCGACTCAGTCTTAATGAAATTATTTTCATTCCTAAAAACCTTAGCACTACTCAATGTCTTATAGATCGCCTTAACATTTGACATTTGGTTAAATGTTAGTTAACCTCCTTAACTAATGCTTCCAAATAGTTTTAATATCAAAAACAAACTACTTTATCCTTTTTTTTTAAAGTAGACATGTAATGTAAGCAGTAAAATGAAAGAAAGCTAGAGTTAAAGATAATCAAGAGTTTTTAGAATTACTGAGTAGAAAGCCCCTTGCTGCTTTACATATATATGCTTTTATTACGTTTCCACAGCGTATAAACTTTGAGTAGTATGTATATGGAAATAGTCCTAGAATATAAAGCTTATATTTCATAGCTAAAGATGTGATAAAAGGATTTTCACTTGAACAGGAAGATTAGAAGCGCTCCTTCCAATTATTACTCTCAAGTTGTTGATGTGTAAATTAAAATGAGGACTTCTGTCAGTTGTTGAATTATCCATTTTAGAAAATAAAGCATGTCTTTGGGAGTCTGCATATCACTACTTTTTAATCTCAGTTTCAAAAATTTAGTGTTGCTGAAAAATAGATATTAGGAATGATTGAGTCAGTAACATTTTACTACTTCTAAATAAGGGTTTGTTGTTGTTGTTAATTTTTCCTTTGTTCTCACAAAAGCAAGCAGAATTTATAAAGTTGTTAAACTGTCATAATGTTTAAATCCAAAACACAAAATTAATTTTCATACCATTATAGTCTTGAGATAAAATCTTAGATTTGGATAAAGTGCATACAAAAAAGGTAATTATAACTTTGTCAATAGAGTGTCATCTAGTGGAGATAGAGTATATCATGTTTAAAAAAAGTGAAACAAAAATCTTGCTTAAGTAATATCAGTATTTGTACTTCATTCTGGATATTCTTTAAAGAATGTATGCACATCAAAATACTCCCTTTTCGGGCCGGCCCGGTGGCGCACTGCTACAGTGCGCCGCTTGGGAAGCGCGGCAGTGCTCCCGCCGAGGGTTCGGATCCCACATACAGACCGGTTCCCGCTCACTGGCTGAGCGAGGTGCAGAGAGCAACACCGAGGGTTGCGATCCTGTTGCCGGTCCCGGGCCGGTACGGGCGCGACACTGAGGGTTGCGATCTGTTGCCGGTCATGAAAAAAGACAAAAAAAAGGAAAAAAAAAAAAATACTCCCTTTTTTATCAGTGAAAATCAAATATATCATAATTTTTAATTTATATTTTAAGTTTATAACTGTGTTTATTTCCATTTAATTAACAATGTTATATTTTGTAGAATAATGATACTGAAGAAGAAGAAAGGTTATGGAGAGACCTTATTATGGAGAGAGTTACAAAATCAGCAGATGCCTGTCTTACAACTATCAACATTATGACATCCCCTAACATGCCAAAAGCTGTATACATTGAGGATGTAATCGAAAGAGTTATACAGTACACTAAATTTCATTTGCAGAATACACTTTATCCTCAGTATGATCCTGTTTACAGATTAGATCCTCATGGAGGTTAGTTTGCCCTTTTACGTTGATAGTTTTTTAGCGTAATATCAAAATTATCTTTTGTAAATTTTTGCCATGTTAGGTGAATCAGAATACAATGACTTAAAATGGCACTAAAATTAATAGATCATTTAAATTGTAATAAACACTGACTTTGATTTTGGATTTGACTAGAATATAGAACTCTTAGTTAATACAGTATTTGTTCAATTAAAATTTCCTTAGCAACTATTTATATATGATAGAAGTTATTTTTACTGGTCAGGGAAAATCCCAGTAATATTAGCTTCTGGTTCCATTTATCACTTCGCCTAATTTTACCCAAAATTGTAGTTATTTGCAAAAGGGATTGATTCAAGATGTATACTCTTCCTCTGATTCTTTATCTGTATAAGTGAGCAATGAAATAGTTAACGTGTATACCTTTGAAGTGAGCAAAGCCAAATTTACGTTCATGAATAATCTACATTGGATTACCTGTTGTGTAATAATTGTATAAGTTAATTTAAAGGGAAAGATAATCTTACTATTCTCCAATGGAAAAAAATGGAAATCAAGACAAAGTAATATTTTAGATACAAGAATTTAATAGCCACTGAAGTGTGCCATAGATTATCTGTTATAAGAATGTTTCTAATAGAATACTGCTAGTGAGCGACATTCTCTTTTAATAAGTAACCAGCTTTATTTGCCATGGTGTATTTTTATGTAGCAAAAAAAAGTGCTCTCTTAATTCAGAAAGCAGTTATAGTACTGTTTGTTGAAAATTATTAAAAGTTGACATTTTCCTTGTCTTGAATTTTTTTCATTTTAGGAGGCTTATTAAGTTCAAAGGCAAAACGGGCTAAATGTTCTACCCATAAGCAGAGAGTAATAGTAATGCTTTATAACAAAGTTTGTGACATTGTTAGCAGCTTGTCAGAATTGCTAGAGATACAGCTTCTTACTGACACAACCATTCTTCAGGTAAGTTTTTTGAAGCATTTTGTGTATTTCTAGACTAAACAATTTAAGAATAGAGGGTCCGATTGAGTGTAGTATAACCTTGTTCACTCAGTAATAATACCAGCACTATGCTAATTTCTTCCATTCAGAATATGTTGTACCTAAATTAAAGAAATAAAAGGTCAGGGGCATTTTTTTAATAAGAAACCTTTTGGGGGCTGGCCCGGTGGCGCACTGCTACACTGCGCTGCTTGGGAGCGTGGCGGTGCTCCCGCCGAGGGTTCGGATCCCACGTACAGACCGGCCGTTCACTGGCTGAGCGAGGTGTGGGAGCAACACCGAGGGTTGCGATCCCGTTGCCGGTCCCGGGCTGGTACGGGCGCGACACTGAGGGTTGTGATCCGTTGCCGGTCCCGGTCCGGTCCGGGCGCGACACTGAGGGTTGCAATCCATTGCCGGTCACGAAAAAAAGAAAAAAAGAAACCTTTTGGGCAGAAGACAGATGGATGTAGTGTAAATTTCAAACTCTAAATTCTTTGAAAGATATTTCCTATATATTTATAGGATATTTTCATCCAAAATTATGAAATGTTTCTTTATATTTCTTTGACTTTCATCTGTTCAAAAGGCAGAGATTAGAGGGATGGCAGCTATGAAATATGGTACCTGATGTATGAGCTAATGTGCTTGAAGGTGAAGGGAAACAGAGAAAGGAGTAGATGCTGATTAGGTGAAGGAAAGGAAAATGCCCTCTTAGTGTTTTCCAGTAAGTTTAAGAACATGTTAGAAGTTAATGAAATAGAATGTTACTGAAATCAAAGATGTGTACTAGTTACTCTTTTTTTTTTTTAAACAGGTTTCATCAATGGGCATAACACCATTTTTTGTGGAAAATGTCAGTGAACTACAATTGTGTGCCATTAAGTTAGTCACTGCAGTAAGTTTATTCAATTTGTATTTCTAGTTAGCCCAAAATGAAAATAATATCGATGTCATTTAATTCAAACTTCCAAAATGAATGCAGATTCCTGATATCTGTTAGATTTATTTCAGTGTAAGGACTATTTTTATGTGTCTTTCCACTAAGAATCTATTTTTTTATTCCATGAACTTTTTGGGCTATTCCATTTTTATCAGATTTAAAACACTTCTAAATATGTAAAAATATTTCAGTTAATAATTCCTTAATATTTATATTAAAATCAGAATCATTTAAAATCATTTAAATATTGTCTTACTTTTCATAACCAAGATATCATACCCCTCTAAATGAAACTATAATATACTCTTGACTTCTATAAGAATGTTGTAATTAATGATAGAAAAATTGAGCAGTTATCGTAAGTCACTACCATTGAATATGTTGAAAATATTTTCATTCTAAATGGAAGGGAATTATTTTTTATCACGTTATGGTATAATTTTCATTTTCTGCTAATTATTGTAAGTTTAATTTGGAATCTTATAATTACTAAACAGGTATTCTCAAGATATGAAAAACATAGGCAGTTAATTTTGGAAGAAATTTTTACTTCACTTGCAAGATTACCAACCAGCAAGAGGAGTTTAAGGAACTTCAGGTAACGAATTATAGCAGAGGTCAAGTATAATGAAGAACTTTATTACATTGTATTTATTATACATCTGTTCTTCATCATATCTGTTTGATCTGTGTTTTAATGATTAAATAAGAGAGGCAATTCAGTCAGAACAGCATAAGGAATGACTTAGATATGTGGGATAACATGGCATATTTGGGGGATTTAAAGAAGATCAATGACCCTCAAGTGTAAAGATCTATGGCAGAATTTTTCATTATTGGCACTATTGACATTTTGAGCCAGATAATACTTTCTTGTGCATTGTAGGATGCTTAGCATCCCTGACATCTACCCACCAGATCCCAAAAGAAGCCCCATCTTCCAGTTATGACAACCAAAATTATTTCCAGGCACTGGAGGGAAAAATCATCCCTGTTTTAAGAACCACTGGTCTAGTCAAGGCAATTCAAAGAGGATTTTATAAGCCATAATAAGGAACTTGGACTTAATCCTTTGGGTAGTGGTAAACTATTAATATATTTTTAAAAGAGAGCAGAAAGCTTACTCAAACAGCAGTGTAGAGAATAGACATGGGGATTAAATTCTCTTTAATCATTAAGCACACTGTAACTAAGGAATGTTATCCATTGCTGTGGTCAGCATGATTGTCTTTGCCATCATAGCTAATCATCATCATTATCATAATTAAATTTGTTGACCTGGCATATAGAGTTATTTTTAGATTGCTTTGAAGGCTGTCTTCTTTAAAGTAATTGTTTTTATCTTAATCATTTTTTGGATTAATTGCATATTGATAAACATTGTCTGTGAAACTTGAAGAAAAACTATCAATGTGTAAAAGAATTTCTACAATATCTGTAGAACAAAAGACTTGGAAACTGGTTTTTTAATCATCTGTACCACTGACCTCATACTCTAGCACAGATGATCAAGAGCTGACTCTGTAACACATTTTAATATCAAATGAATACCAGAAACAGCAGATGAATATCAGAATATGTGGGCCTTTAGAACCTTGGAAACTTTTATCATTTTTAAAATCATTCTGAGAAATATTCAGCAATTCTTCATTATTAATTTTTATCTGCAGTGTATATTAAGTATAGAAATTTGTATTTTTCCTTTGGTGATTTTAATTATCTGACCATTCATAGGCATTTACTTGGTATTTTTCTAATTCATTAAAAATAATTAGACATAAGAACTTTTTTTTTTTTTTTCAGATAGTAAATTTTTTTTTTTTTTTTTTTTTTTTTTTTTTTTTTTTTTTCAAT